CTTTTTTTACATTAGAATATGGGTGTGACGCATTCTAATGCTTCTTGGAGTGTTTGGCACGAAATATATCGAGTTGGCTTTTTCGATAAGCTTCTGTGAGGTAGTCAATACTACAATAAAATTCTCACGTCCACTTGACCGGAATAGCGTATATTTGAAAGATTCCACTAGTTCTTCAGTTGCGCAGACGGTTGTAACACAAAATCACACCAATTTTATTTCACAATATCCACTATGAACAAATTTAAGAATAATTAAAATAAGACGCCAACCTCACTCGATGACATCCCGCCAAAACTCCCCAAAAAGTCATAAATAAAATATGTGAAGTAAATAAGTGATTTATACTTGTTAAATACTAGTTCTCTATGCAGTGTAAACGAAATAATGTTTTAAACAGCCTCAGCAATTATTCTACAAGTTATATTTAAAACTAGTACTTATATGAGTTGTTACTTGGTGGAAACGAGGGGTAAGATATACTGCGTGGTGAAAGCGAAGCGAAACGTTTTTTTTATTTTATAACTAGTGACCACGCGCGACTATGTCCGCGCTTGTAACTTTATTAACCTAACACGCAAGTCATACCTATACTATATTTGTACCAAATTTTATTTAAATCCGATCAGTAGCTTTTGCGTGATTGAGTTACAAACAAACAGTATTGACTCGTACGAAAAACGGAGCTGTTACTAAGAATTCAATTTAACGTTCTTACCATAGTGTTAACGCCGTGCCCCCTTCGACGAGAGAATCTACAATCGGTCCATCATTATCGTCCGTTCATACATTCATTCCATACCCATTTGTTACTACATTCACTCATTAGTTTTATATGGATGCACTCTCCCTCTTGCGATCGGAATTCAAAAGCCAACGTCACAATCACACTAATATGGTAAAGTCGAAAGTTTGTGTGTATGTTTTTTTTTTTTAATAATATTTGGTATGGAGTTAGCTGACACCCTGGATTAACATATCGGCTACGTTTTACTGCGGGAAAATATCCCTAATAAACCGCGGGTAACACCGCGGGGCGCAACTAGTATTTTCATAAGATCTGTATTTTACTTTGAATAATATTCTACAATCTGAATATCCGATCTTTATTGAGAAATCCACATAAAGAAGATACTTAGTGTCGCCGCACACGGGCACCGACCACAACCACAAAACGCCGCCACCGGCATATTTCTTGTAGTTTTCATACATTTTATATGGACTCACCACACACGGTACGCGCCGGTGGCCGCCACTCGCTACAAATCGTCGTTGCTCGCTTCTTGTGGCCCGCACCGGCCACTTAATGCGCCGATACAAAACGCCGCCACACGTCACTCGCGCGATTCCCCACCCCTCTCTCCCTTACCTTAGTCGGCCGCTGTCGCGCGCTTCAGCCACTTTAGTAGACGCTTCTAGCTTCTCGTGGCGGCGTTTGTGGATGTGGTATGTGACCCGTGTGCGGCGACACTAAGCTATCGAACACAGAATACATCCTATCTCTATGGACTCCACATACTAGACGAGAGAAGAAGTAGGCGTGAGTACTTATCCATGGAGGTCAGAGAGAAGGAGAACGATCGCTACATGCTAAAGCAATAGCCCGCCTGACCCTGAAAATTTGTAGAATTTATAGTTCATTTTTCAGCCACCAGCCGCGCTGCCGTCGGTAAGTAGTATCTGTGAAGTTAGCTGTTTATGAGTACAAGTAGATGAAGTTAGTTGAATATTGTTATCGCGGCATTGGTCATTTCAAATTAGCCCGCTTTTATTGAGACAACTTATCGATCGCAGCGCCTCACTTATTTTGTCCATATTTCTGGGACGCTATTTTCTACGGCGATCGTTCTCCTTCTCTCTAACCTCCATGGTACTGTCACAAACGCTCTCGAAACGGAACCGCGAAAGTGCTAGAGATCGAATGTGCCAGAGCACCGCAGGTCGCGATAGAGGTCGAGTGAGCCTTATGCAGTGCGGCGTAAGGGAGAAAGTGCAACGACATCTGCACTTGTTTACAAGTTATGCGCGTTACCTACGTAGGTATAAGTAGGTACTACGTACTCGCGGGTGCTAGCTAACTCTCAATTTAACAGGTAATTTCTAGAATGCGTCGATCGGCGTATATAAGCGCGATTGGCGCCGCGCAGAGACAGTTGAGTTTCAACAGCGATTTCGGAACGAATCCAAAGGCGATCAAAGTGCAACAAAAGTGTTCAAGTGAGATTGTTTAGAGACTTGTATAGTGAAATACAGTGTTTAGTGAGTGTTTTGTAATTAACATTGTGTGTCAATTGTGTGAACTGTGTGGTGAATAAAGAACTGTCAAGCGTGAACTGGCATATAATTTCGAACCCCATCCCGACACGTAACAGTAGTATCTCTGATAAAACTATAGACTTGATAAGCGTTACAATAAGGCCATAGACTTAAACAAAAACCATTGTTCTTATTTTGCATCAGACATTTTGGCTAAATCATTGAACTTTGTGTAGGGTGTTTATTTACCTATTTAATGAAGGTATGTATTTCTATATTGCAGAGTGACTGTATCAACATAAATCACACTTAAAGATTGATTAGCGTCCCTGAGTGCTATCTTAAGAGGAGTAATAAGGAAAAACAAAATTTAGATTAATTGTATTTATTTTCATTTATTTAAATATATTATCTATATTATTTAATTTTTTAAGCATTCAACTGCTACATATTTAAATGTAAAGAAAATATAACTAGAAAAAAATCCACGCGGACCAGGCAGCAGACGGAACTCGAACCCGCACCCTTCGCTATCCGGGGACTGACCAATTATGCTACCGCAGCCCTGACGGCCGCGTCGAAATTTCTTACGCCTTAGGCTGAGCAAAGGCAAAGCAGCGCCATCTCTTCGCATTGTAGGTAACTCACAATGTCAAATGAATACTTTTACAAGTATTAAACGTTTGAAAGAAGAAACAGCAATTATAGTTATATATATATATATATATCTTTATATATATAATTCTTCTGTGAGTGTGTATGTCACTGAACTTCTCTTAAACGACTCGACCGATTTTGATGAAATTTTTTGTGTGTGTTCAAGGGGATCTGAGAATGGTTTAGATTCACAATTTTGTCCGCTAGACAACCCCTATTTTTTTAGGGCGGTACGAAGTTCGCTGGGTCAGCTAGTATATATATATATATATATATATATTTTTAACATTCAACTTTAATTAAGGATTTTTTTCTAATAATATTTTCTTTATATTATCTATTTTTAATTAATAGGCATACTATCACACTGGACAAGAACAAAACATGTTAGCTACAAAACTTAAAAGTTAGTACCTAACCCTTGCAACCCGTTTTTCTTCTGCATAATTCAGATTTTAAATGAGATTTCTGTAGTTTGAGACTTGAACTCCTTTAACATATCCGCTTTTTAAATCTTAAACATATTTTATTAGTTTTTTTTTTGAACTGAAACTTCTTTAGGCACGCTTCACTTGGGGGGTAAACTGGCGAATGTGTGACGATTTTTGAGTTACGCGCGCACCGGTGACTCATCGGTAAACAATGAACAATACCCGTCACAAAATACATGAATCTAGTACTTGGTGGGTGATAACGGACCCAGCATGGATTGGAGAGTGATAACGGACCCAGCGCGTACTGGTGGGTGATAATGTACCCAGTGCGGATTGGAGGGTGATAACGGACCCAGCGCGGATTGGTGTGTGACAATGGAACCATTGCGGATTGGTGAATGATAACGGACCCAGCGCGGATTGGTAGGTGTTAACGGACCCAGCGCGGATTGGTGGGTGATAACGGACCCAGCGCAGATTGTGGATGACAATGGACCCAGCGCGGATTGGTGAATGATAATGGACCCAGCGCGGATTGGTGGATGACAATGGACCCAGCGTGGATTGGTGGGTGATAACGGACCCAGCGCGGATTGGTGGGTGATAACGGACCCAGCGCGGATTGGTGGATGATAATGGACCCAGCGCGGATTGGTGGATGACAATGGACCCAGCGTGGATTGGTGGATGATAACGGACCCAGCGCGGATTGGTGGGTGATAACGGACCCAGCGCGGATCGGTAGTTTTTTTCTATCAACAAATCTTCGGGTTAAGTTTAAGATTTTCAGATCATTGGAGCTAAGGAAGTTTCACTTCAGTCGTGTGGACATAAGCGCACTCGCTTTTTTTTCTATAAATTTATAAAGAATTGGTTTTCTGATCAATCAATCAAATACTTTATTTGTGATACACGGGTCAAAAGTTACATGGATGTTAAATAGAATTTCCGTAGAACAATTCAACATAACGTCCATCGTGTAAGTATTAGTCAATTTTATTTTAAGTATATTGAATAATTCATTCAAAATAACCAATATTCAAAATAAAATGTAAATTTATTAAAATGTCAAATATTATTTTAAATTTATTTAAATACATAATAGTAATAATGTCATTAACGGGACATCCAGACAGACACTAATTATATTTGATGAGTAAAAAAAATTTTTTTTTAAATATAATTAAAAAATATTTAAAGAAAATATAACTAGAAAAAATTCCACGCGGACCAGGCAGCAGACGGGACTCGAACCCGCACCCTTCGCAATCCGGGCGAATGCACTGACCAATTATGCTACCGCGGCCCACACGGACCGCGTCAAAATTCTTCTAGCTATTCTTAAGCTGCAAGGCAGCGCTATCTCTTCGCATTATAGGTAACCCACAATGTGAAATGAATACTTTTACAAGTACCTATAATGCGAAGAGATAGCGCTGCCTTGCAGCTTAAGAATAGCTAGAAGAATTTTGACGCGGTCCGTGTGGGCCGCGGTAGCATAATTGGTCAGTGCATTCGCCCGGATTGCGAAGGGTGCGGGTTCGAGTCCCGTCTGCTGCCTGGTCCGCGTGGAATTTTTTCTAGTTATATTTTCTTTAGATTTAAACATCAAGCAGTTACATGCTTTAAAATAATAAAAATTAAAAAATATTTCCTATTTTCAATACTGCCTCCAATATTTGCTTCAACATCTACTGCATAATACCATAATTCCTCAATATGGTTATATCAACTAAATTCTCATCGACTTTCTGGTTCGGATGATGTATTAGATGCAACAATATTCGCACTTTATTCGTAGAAGACCAGAGACAAACAGCACAGACAAAGAGATCATCTCCTTCTGTCGATTTTTGATGTACAAGTACCATGTGACTGTTATAGTCAAGCTGGAACAAAAAATATTTTTTTACATTTAACTGCCATTTCTTTTCATTTTTTAAAATGCAAGGAAATTCAAGAGCTTAATGTCGCCGCACACGGGCCACACGCCACAGCCACAAACGCCGCCACGAGAAGCTAGAAGCGGCTACTAAAGTGGCTGAAGCGCGCGACAGCGGCCGACTAAGGTAAGGGAGAGAGGGGTGGGGAATCGCGCGAGTGACGTGTGGCGGCGTTTTGTATCGGCACATTAAGTGGCCGGTGCGGGCCACAAGAAGCGAGCAACGACGATTTGTAGCGTGTGGCGGCCACCGGCGTACGTGTGTAGCGAGTCCATATAAAGTATATGAAAACTACAAGAAATATGCCGGTGGCGGCGTTTTGTGGTTGTGGTCGGTGGCCCGTGTGCGGCGACACTTACTATAATATAAATAATTCTTGTCAATCGCTTCCTATAAAAAAATCGGATATCTCTTAATGTACACACATCAAAAGTGTCTAGGGATCAACATATATTTTTGCAATAACTTTTCTCCTGATTGATATTAATTAAAATTTTCTTTAAGGATTCATCAAATAAAGTGTTTTCGTTTGTCACAGTAACGATAAACCAAGTCACCTTTGCATTAATAAAGAAATTTGCCATTTTCCTAATAAAGGGATTTTTGACATTTGAACCACTAACACAAAAGTTCGAAAAAAAGACTGAAATAACAGTTTTCTCTAAAATTTTATTGGGTAACTTAAACAATTAATAATCCGTATTTCTACCGCGAACACTAACAACACAAGAACATCGGTTTGGCATACTCAAAATGAGTTCATCCAAATCACGCTGTGGAATGGCCGCCCATGTTCGTTGCAACAACAAAAAAAGGTCTTCTTGCGACTGGATACCCTCCATATTCGGCAGAGCTCTTCTCTGTAGCATATCCCATGCATGCTCAATCGGGTTCAAGTCTGGCGACTGAGCAGGCCAGGGCAGGACATTGATGTTAGCTGCGGCGAGAGTCTGTCTTACAACTCTTGCGGTGTGCGGTCGTGCATTATCATGCATTAACTGAAATAAGGGACCGATTTGCACTTGTAGAGGAACGATGACGTCTGATACAATCGTCTCAGCATAAATTTGAGCGTTGAGGTTGCCTCTGATCCAAATCAACTCAGTTCTTCCGCCGATCCAAATACCCGCCCATACCATGATGGTTCCACCACTATAAGGATGGACTTCCTGGCAGGATTTTAATCGCTGTTGGCGTCCAGGGGTTCTCCAGTGTCGTATACGTCTTGTATCCGGTCTCATACCAAAACGAGACTCATCAGAAAAGCACACGAAACGCCATTGTTCTTCTGCCCAATTTCTGTGTTCAAGAGCCCATTGATATCGAATCCTACGATTGTGCATTGCTATAGGTGGTACCCGTAGCGGTCTTCGGGAATGAAGGTTCACTTCATGCAAGCGGTTTCTGACTGTTTGGTCGCTAATTAAGTTCCCTGAAGAGTGATGAAGCCTCACGGCTAACATCATGGCGGTTATTGTTGGAGCTCTTCGAGTTAAGATTTGAATGTATCGGTCTTGTCTCCGTGTGGTGCAGCGATACCGTCCTCCATGGCGCTCAGCCACGGTACCAGTGCTTCGGTATCGTGTCCAAAGTCGACTGATAACACTCTGACTTGTATTCAGAGCTAAAGCCACAGTACGTTGCCGGGAACCAGCTTCTATCATTCCCACGGCTCTGAGCATTTCTTCCCTGCTTAAATGACGTCGCCGCTCCATAATAACGTTGGTTTTAATCAGTAGTAGGGAAACAGTAGCACTAATAATGTCTTCAATGCGTTGTATGTTTTTATAGGGAAAATATTGACAGCTGATTTTCATCTTTTACTCGAATTTGATTCACAGTTCCTGATTCAAATTATGAAATGCACCAAAAAGGATCCATATAAATTTATAAAATCATAAATTTATTACAAAGCCACATCTCAATCTCAAGAAATCCGCATAAAAATGCTTGATCCCTAGACACTTTTGATGTGTGTATTTGTTTTTATTATATTTTATATTATCTACTAATATTCAGAAAGTAGTTTATTGTATAATTATTTTTCATTCGTCAGTTAACAGTGTCATCTTTTGACACTAAATGTAACGTCTCGCTCTGTTGGTTATATGTAGCACATGTAGACGTCACTGGCTGCCACATATATTTAAAATTGACAAAGATACACGTATATATCTTTATATATATAATTCTTCTGTGAGTGTGTATGTCACTGAACTTCTCTTAAACGACTGGACCGATTTTGATGAAATTTTTTGTGTGTGTTTAAGGGGATCTGAGAATGGTTTAGATTCACAATTTTGTCCGCTGCACAATGTTTTTTTAATTAATTTTTAATTTATTAGTAGTTGTTGATTTTGAAATGTTTTACATTGGATCCGACAGACGGCGCTACCATACTAGACAGGACAACGTCTGTCGGGTCCGCTAGTAAACCTATAATTTTGTTGTATATTTATTTTTTAAGCATTTAACTGCTAGATGTTTAAATTTAAAGAAAATTTTACTAGAATTAGTCCACGCGGTCCAGGCAGTAGACGGGACTCGAACCCGCACTTTCCGCTATCCGGGCGGATGCACTGACCATTATGATGATGATTAGCCCCCAGATGTGTGGCCCGTCTACATTTTTTTAAAATTAATTTAGACACTATTTAACACCTTCTCTTTTTTTTAATTTTTCATTTAAAATTAAATATAATCTTTAGCGAACCATAATCCAGATAATTTATTATATGACCTTTCCTGTCCAGAGTTTCTTTGCAACATAACGTAACGTAGTATTTAGTTTTTGGTAAGAAATAACGAATATTTTTTCAATTTTATTATAATTATTATAACTTACCTTACTGCATAAGATGGTGTCACATTCAACACACAACCTGCCTTTTCTCTTGTGAATGTTCAAATTTCTCAACTCTACGAACCTGTTAAATGAAAAATATCATTATTAAGTATATAAATATTACTGATAACATTCATTAATTTGTCTTTAAAACTTCATGTCCCTGCCCCCCTAGCATGAGCACCGCGATATGATATATAACGCGATTTTATCACTCTCAGTTGTCAAATTCCTATGGAGTTTGACAGTAAGACGCGATAAAAAGCGTGATATAATGTAAATTGTGCCCTCCTAGCATGAGCACCGCGATATGATATATAGCACGTTTTTATCACGCTCAATTGTCAAGTTAGTATGGAGTTTGACAGTTAGACGCGATAAAAAACGAGATATAATGTAAATTGTGCCCCCCTAGCATGAGCACCGCGATATGATATATAGCACGTTTTTATCACGCGCAATTGTCAAGTTAGTATGGAGTTTGACAGTTAGACGCGATAAAAAACGAGATATAATGTAAATTGTGCCCCCCTAGCATGAGCACCGCGATATGATATATAGCACGTTTTTATCACGCTCAATTGTCAAGTTAGTATGAAGTTTGACAGGTAGACGCGACAAAAAGTGTGATAAAACGTATATTGTGGTGCTCATGCTACGGGGCCTGGTGACTGAAATTCGCACATTTTACTCACTCTATCAAAGAGTGAATGATATAATGAATGAACGGTGAATGAATAAAATAATCATTACACACTCCACCAAGCGTTTGTTACACAAACACAAGCAGCGTCCGGTATTTGAGTCTGCTCAATCGTTTAAGTCTGAATCATTAAGCGGTGGGCGTTTTTAGAATAACGATGCCAGGTTTGGATGCGCGCATCCGATGCGACTAGATGCCGTTATTGGATGCCGATGCCATCTAGTTTTTGTCAACGTTACTATAGCTAAAGTGCCACAAACTTATCTGTGCCGATGGAGATGTCGCTAGTGGTGAACAAATATGTCATAAAAATGACAAAATACTATGGATAAATTGTAGTTCAAATTTTTGCCACCGACACAGAAAAGTTTGTGGCTCCGGACTGCGTTCAAAACCTATGCTCCCAGTACATTTTTTTATGTAATGATTTTGCCAGCTTTCAATATTTTCAGTTACCATACCGAAAAGTAAATAAATGGTTCTCGATTACATTTTCAAGTCATGATTCACGGAATCTAAGAGACGCACCCCCACAAAGCATGCATCTGTCATAATTTATATCGCATCGTATCCTATGATACTACGATACTGAATTTTATTTATTTATTTTATTATGTTGTTACATTGTAAAAAGTACAATGTAATAACATTTACAAATCATTATGTTGTTACAACGTTAATACAATCATGATTTATTGAATATAGAAAACCTGTTGGAATGATTGGAACAGTTCAAACCCAAGCATTTTTGTCTGTAATATAATCAGACACTTTGTAATAAGCTTTTTGAAGTTATACTTCTTTAGGCGCGTTATGAAAAAATGATGAGAGTGAAATTTTAAGATGCGCGCGCATCACTGTAACACAAAGCGACCAACTTCATGCGTTACTTTTGTGTTTACCGCACATTAAGAAAATCTACCAACAAAATAGAAATAGAATCTCTATTTAGTGGGTGCTAACGACTGCATTGTGAAGGCCTATCAAAAGTATTTATTAATCTGGAACAACGGAACCAAAGCGCGATTCAGGAGACTACAGCGCCATCTCTTGACTATTGGTGTAGTAGAACCAAAAACCACATCTTTATTTTTTGTAATAAAGTAACAAAAAGTATTTATTAATCTGGAACAACGGAACCAAAGCGCGATTCAGGAGACTACAGCGCCATCTCTTGACCATTGGTGTAGTAGAACCAAAAACCACATCTTTATTTTTTGTAATAAAGTAACAGTTATAGGTATTCATATTTATAATATTTATCCACATGTTTCTAGTTTGTATATTCGGAATACGTGTTTGAGTTTCATACAAGTGCAAATCACATATGTTCTAATAAATTATATTCAGTAGCGATTTTAATTGAATATTTTGATTATTTATTTATTTTTTCAAATTAAAACTGAACTTTATTGACTTCGTCCTTTTCCAGACTTTTTATTAATTTATTGTAATTAATTATTTGCATGCAATTAAAAACTAATTTTAAACGATGCCAAAGAAGGATAACTTCTCACGCGCCTACATAAGTACACGCACCCATTTTTTTTTTAATTAGTGCTTTCTTATACTATCTTTAAATTCCATTATCACCATCGGCCTTCCCTATGGATGGAATATAGAATAGGGAGATTGGGCCATAACCCACCAAGCTGGGCCCAGTGCGGATTGGCGGGTGCTAACGACTGCAGATGCAGCCGGGACCAACGGCTTAAAGTGCATTCCAAAGCACTTAGGAACTCGAGATAGAAGATTTTCGGTCACCCATCCAATGATCGACCACTGCGAAAGTTGCTTAACTTCAACGATCGCAGCCGAACGCGCTAACCACCCGCGCCATCGAGCTTCTCCCGTAACAATATTATCGCTTTACTCACTTAGTATCGCATCTGTCGCACTTATATTTCGGTTCCTGCTTCCTGGTGTGCTCCCGGGTTCTGTGCATACGTAAAGATTGTGCGTTGTCCGCTTTGTAATCGCATTGAGGGCACTGGATGGAGCCCGTATGCTAAAAACAAAATATTAAATTTAAAAAAAAAATACTAGAAAAAAAACCACGTGGACCAGGCAGCAGACGGGACTCGAACCCGCACCCCCCGCTATCCAGGCGCATGCACTAATCATTATGCTACCGCGGCCCTAATTGTTAATGTTAAGTTTCACTTAATATAAATAACACTATTTGTATTTATACTGTACTAGCGGCCCGCCATCGCTTCGCTTCGGTGTAGAGCTGAAGTGTAGACTACAGTTTTTGTTCTCAGGCTTGTATTATACACAATGACATTCATCTATGATTCTTCTTATACCTCCATGCAAAGTCTCAGCCCGATCGGTTTAAAATTGACAAAGTTTCATACAAACTTTCATTCCCTATTTTATCCCCTTGGGGGTAGAATTGATCAAAATCCTTTCTTAGCGGACGCCTACGTCATAACATCTACCTGCATGCCAAATTTCAGCCCGATCCGTCCAGTGATTTGGGCTGTGCGTTGATAGATCACTATGTCAGTCAGTCAGTCACCTTTAAGTTTTATATATATAGATGACACAGCAATCAAAATGCAGCTAAACAATTAATGTATCTCTTATCTATTTGACAAGTCCGTCCGTCCGTCCGTCCGTCCGTGGTGCTGTTTCAGCGGCCAAACCGTAAGAGATAGATATAGAGAATGTTTAAGGTATAAGTTAAGAATAGTATGATAAGACTACAAACCGGATGTGAGTAACGTAGCACTTCCGGTTTTCGAGAAATCACGTGATTTCTATTTCAAACGAAACCACACAAAATATCCGAAGTTCTCAATTAATTAAATACATTTTTTTTTTTGGTGAACATTTGGTTCACTGGTTTGCTAGTATTTAATCATTATGTAATGAAAGGTGACTTCATGAATCATCTCTGAAGTCATTTTTCAACATGACGACTCTGTAAATAATAAAACAGGGAGAAAAAAACAGCCCTTGCTGAGTTTCTTGCCGTTTCTTCTCAGTAAAAGGTCTCCCGCCACAGATTTACGAACCGATGGCGTAGCTTCTAGACATTCATGAGTGCTTGAAACAGCCTAAACTGAATAAATGTTTTTTTTGATGTGTAACATCTTTCCACTCGCTTTCGTGCAATTTGTGGGAGTGAAAACGTGAAGTGGGACCGAAGTGTGTAACAGGAAGTTTGGGAAGCGCGCGCTATTTGATTTTATTTTAGAACATAATGTTCAAATGGCTTATTCCTTTTGTAGTAGTACTTTTTTTTCTTTTTATACTAATACAGGTTGTTACAAAAATACAAATAAAGCTTGAAGGGCGTTGAAGTACATCATATAAGGAGTCTTCTCTAATTTTCTTAAAATATTTGCATGAAGTTTTAACTTTTTATAAAAACAGTTGTTAAAACTTCATGCAAATATTTTAAGAAAATTAGAGAAGACTCCTTATATGATGTACTTCAACGCTCTTCAAGCTTTATTTGTATTTTTGTAACACGCTGTATAAGATGAATTTTCAAATGTTACACATAATATGCCTCATGACGATCTCCGTGGTCGAGTGGTCTGTACGCCGGGTTTCATGGTGTCGCCGCCTCGAGTGGTCCCGGGTTCGAATCCCGGTGGGGGCAGATGTTTTGTGTGATGAATACGAGCATTTGTACTCCAGTCATGGCTGATTAATATGTATTTCTATATAAATATACTTATATATGTACTGTATATGTATTCTATCCGTTACCCTAGCATCCCATAACACAAGCCTTACAGTGCTTACTTTGGGCCTAGGCTAATTGGTGTGAGTGTTGGAAATATTTATTTATTATTTTATTTATACGCGACTACTGTAAGGCTCGCTCGTTTGTTTATTTATTTTATGACTAGCCGTGCCCCGCGGTTTCACCCGCGTTTTTCTCGTTTCCGTGGAAATACCGAGATAAAATATTGCCTATATTATAGCCTCCCTCAATAAATGAACTATTGAATATTTAAACAGTTTTCATATCAGATCAGTATTTCCCGAGATTACCGCGTTCATAACAAACAATCAAACTTTTCAGCTTTATAATATTAAGAAAAATAAGAAAAATATAGATTAAGTTAAATTGTATAAGTCGCAGACAATAGCTGACTATCTGTTCGACATTCAGCCAGACACATAATACAGGGTGAAATTGAATGTTTTAATGAAACTTTGTGGGATTGTTGGGTTACGTATATGGACTAACTCTGAATTTTTTCGGATTTCGTTAAAAATGATTTAAAATAAAATTCCTTTTTTTTTTGTTATATTTTAAGTCCTTTCCTCCTTTTGGGTACTAAATAATTATTCTTTTTAAACACGCATACAGAGTAAGTAAAAAACAACTAATAAGCACTACTAAAAAAACGTAAAAACAGAAGACGAACGGCCGGGAGCAATGACCGCTCCCGCCCGTTGAATCGGTTGAATACCTACCTATGCGTTGAATACCTGCAAAGCGCAGTGAGCGAGCGTAGTGTCAAGTTTATAAACCGCGCGTGCTTATCTTTTAAATTTGTGACAAGAGAAGATTTGCAAATAATGCCTTGATTAGTTCTTGTTCTGTGGCCTCAATATAAGAAGTTGGATATGGTGTGTTGTTATTGTAGTGTCACGGAACTGAGTACAGCAGAGCCACAAGGCTTTACGAAAGTAGGTTTAGTGATTGATTGTGTTTACAAAGTGTATACGGGAAGTTAAAGTGAAAAAAATGAATAGGTTCATCGGTCTCGTAAGTACTTTTGAATACCTGCTTATAAATTTTATTCTGACCCAAGTATTGAACTGCAATAAGTATTTCTTTTTGTTTAACATTTGCCTATTTCTAATCGTGACAAAATTATTATTAACTTTTAAAGTTTTTCTCTGCTTAAGAGAAGATGACATTTGTGCTTATTATTTCAATAAAGGCATAAGACGACTTTATTGTATTGTGTGGAATCAAAGGAGTCAGCTGAACTCTGTGTAGAGGTACCTACTCACTCAACGGCTGGCGGGTGCGGTCGGTCGTTGACCCGCGGTGGAATTTTAATGTTTTTCCATTTTTTAGAAGTGCTTATTTATTAGTTATTTTTCACTGGATATGTAAGTTTGTTTGTTTAAAATGAATAACTACTCAAAAGGAGGAAAGGACATAAAAATACACAAATTATAAATAAATACATGAAAAAAATATACTTCAAAAATTCCGAAAAAAATCAGGCATACTCTATACATGTAACCCAACAATCTCACGAAGTTTCATTAAAACATTCAATTTCACCCTATATTACGATACATATTTAACGTAGTTTTTTTTCTTCAGACGATTTAATAATTATTTTGAACACAAAATCGGTATTTGTGGTTAAACCATGATAGCTAGATATATGTTCTCGCGGACTTTTTTGTAGGTCTTAATGGGATCTACAAACCCGTAGTACATCATTTTGTTCTATTGTCAATAGTTTTTGCAGCGCACGCAAAAATAGGTTTTCGATTTTACACCTTGTGTTACAAAATAGCAATTTTACTACGGATCCCTAATTTTAAAAATACGAAATATAGCCTATAGCCTTCCTCGATAAATGGACTACCCAACACTGAAAGAATCATTCAAATCGGACCAGTAGTTCCAGAAATTAGCGCGTTCAAACAAACAAACAAACTCTGGAGCTTTATAATATTAGTATAGACTAGCAAACCAGTGAACCAAATGTTCACCAAAACCTGATTTCTCGAAAACCGGAAGTGCTACGTTACTCAAATCCGGTTTGTAGTCTTATCAGACTATTCTTAACTTATAACTTAAATATTCTCTTTATCTATCACTTACGGTTTGGCCGCTGAAACAGCACCACAGACAGACAGACGGACGGACTTGTCTAATAGATAAGAGATTATGATTATAGTGCTCCAAAATCTCACCGTCTGCATGTGCACTTGTAGCGACCTCTCGTGTCTCGCTATGAAATCGCACTGCGCACACTTCAACGGGTTGTCCGGTCTGTGAATTAATTCGTGTTTCTTCGCGTTCTTCTTTGACGCCGATCTGTACGTGCAGTAGCGGCACTTGAATGGTTTTATACCTAAAATTGTATCCATTATTAAAGTCATCATCTGCATCTTTGGCCTGTTAAAAGGAGGCGGGCAATGTTTTTTAAATACAGACGTTCTCGAGTGATTCCTGCTTGATTTTTTGACTGTTTGAGTTGACTGGCATCTTAGATTAAAACAAAACTTGGTGCACGACCACAATTCGCTTCAGTCACAATTGGACATTCAACACGCTCCATGTGCACTCAATATAACAATATTGCGTATATTCTGTGTTATAAAGACATTACAATGCCTTCGATGCTTTTATAAAGAACACAAATAGTTCAAAATCAAATAACAAATGCCTGAGCAAAACTTTTCATTCGTAAAACTGTAAAATATTTTTTTTCTCAAAAATCACGGTTTGTCGTGAATGTTATTTACGTAATCGCCATTTTGTTATGAAGAAAAGGACAACAATACAGCTCAGCCGTTCGCACCCGGACGCTGATTCGAAGTTTCGCTCGCTCTGCGTTGAAGCGTACAGTTCTGTCTCGCTCGCTCGATTGTATGTGTGTGCGTGTGTGAGAGTTGCTTATGTAGTTGAGTCGGAGTATATTTTATTTGATGCTAGTAAGAGCGTGCCGTTTCTTCCCTTTTTATTTTTAATCTAAGATTGTCACACATAAAATATAATTTTACTCATCCTATGCTCCTATGTCGTCTCTTTTTTTGATAACTTGTGTTTCAAATAAACTAGAAGCCCTCAAAATGACAAAAAGAAACAAATTTTTATCACCATTAAAGACGTCTAGCGTGGAGATTTAATAAGCATTTACAAAAAAATCAAAACATAGAGGCATAGTATAACTACTTATTATTGTTTGTGTAAAATTTTTTTTACATATATCTAATTTTCGAGGGGGAAATCGTCGAGAGCCAAACCTAAATTTTGCAATTTTTACACGCAATTTTCAGCGTTTAATACTGTTGTCCCCAGCAGTAGGGATATTGAGAGCGGACGCAAGCAGAGCGCCTTTTGAGAAATAGGTAATTGAAAAAACTATTGTTGTCACGCATTGGCAAATACCGTGTGACAAATACTCTGTCGATATCCCTACTGCTGGGGCACAGGCCTTCCCTATGGATGGAATAGGGAGATTGGGCCATGACCCACCACGCGAGCCCAGTGCAGATTGGTGGATGCTAACGACTGCAGATGCAGCCGGGACCAACGGCTTCACATGCCTTTCAAAGCACTTAGGATAGTATTACAGTAATGTATAATAAGCCTCACTCACTACTTATATTATAAATTTGAAAGTCTGTATGTTTGATGGATTAACGGATTTGGATGGAATTTTACACACATAGTTGATGACCTGGTATGAGAGATAGGTAACGCATTAGAAATGAAATGAGGAGCACGATGGCGCAAGTGTTTAGCGCTAACGGCTGCGATTGTTGAAATTAAGCAACTTTCGCAGTGGTCGGTCATTGGATGGGTAACCAAAAATTTACTATCTCTAACTCCTCCGTGCTTCGGAAGGCACGTTAAGCCGCTGTTCCCGGCTGCATCTGCAGTCGTTAGCACCCAACAATCCGCGCTGGGTCATTGCCCAATCTCCCTATTCCATCCTTAGGGAAGGCCTGTGCCCCAGCAGTGGGGACATTAATAGGCTGATGATGATTAGAAATGATATGGACGCGTAATGCTCTAACAAAGGCCGCATAAAAAACATTGTTTTAAACTCATGCAACTAAACTTTAATACTAACGCGACATACACACAGACAAAACAAAATACTTGTGCAAATCAAACATCTGCAAATGAATTCGGCTACCCATTCATTGGGCAAGATGATGTTAAACGGAAATCCCAACCAATCCCATGATCGGCGTGTTGATCGCAGTTTTATCGCCCCGCCCACTTGATCGCAGTTTTCGTGGAACCACTTTATAGTGCAATCAAATTTAGTGAAAGTTTGTATGTTTGATTGACACCAACACATAGATCTATGTGGTCAAAACAATAATTTTGTTGCACTAGAAAAAGAAAAAGGGCAGAGCGAGACAACCTAAACAGAGGCCAGCTTTTCTCCTCTCACTTCAACTAAACGAAACTAATCGACTTTTCGATGTGTAACATCTTTCCCCTCGCTTTCCTGCAATTTGTGGGAGTGATTTCGTGAAATGGGACGGAAGTGTGTAACAGGAAGTCGCGAAAGCGCGCGCTATTTGATTTGATTTAGAACATAATGTTTAAATGGCTTATTCCTTTTTTAGTAGGTTTTATTTCTTTTTTTACTAATATAAGGTGAGGTTTCAAATGTTACACATCATACGCGTCTACTGTAAGGCTCGCTCGCGCGTTTTTTTAATACGCTTCATTATCCTGATCTGTTTTTCTTCAAGCCCTTCATATTTTATTCTTACCTTGGTGTATTCTGACGTGTTCTTCAAATATGGCCTTGTTGTATGTCGAATAGTCGCACATGGTGCATTGGAACGGATTCTCGCCTTTATGCACTTTCCGGATATGTCTGATCAACCGATCTTCGATGCTGGTAAAGTATGGGCTAAAACAGAAAACATGTTGGTACTTAACTAAAGCAATAAAATTATGGTATTAAAACTTCAAGACATACAGGCATAGTATATTTTTTTTCTTTCTAAATGGCTTCGCACGGCTTGTGCATTTAGCCAATGTCAAGTGTTAAAATGTTTACAGATTCTATAGCACTTGTGGTCAAAGTAATAAATCAAGTCAAAGTAAGTGGCAGTGAAGTCAATCCCCTTTCCCTATGTTTCAGTAAATGTGTGGGGATTTACTGGAACCTCCCCGTGGACTTCTTGAGGGAACGTCGAAAGACACCTTCCGCTATTTTGTTTCACTTGCCAACACTTGTGCATGTTCCCGAACACTTAGTGGTTAATAATCCACCATTATTAGACACTTACATCCGCCACAACACAATGTTTAACAAGAAAAACAAAACTGCTGAAGTGACTCTTTCTGATCCCGCCAAAAAGTCCCCTAGTATTAAGTATTTATTATTCTTTGTGTAAAATTTCTATTACATACATCTTATTTTCGAAGATGAAATTGTCGAGAGGCAAACATCAAATTTTGCAATTTTTATACGCAATTTTCAGCGTTTACTACTGTTGTCCCTATCGCACGGTATTTGCCAATGCGTGACAGCAATAGTTTTTTCAAATATCTATTCTCAAATGTCGCTCTGCTCGCGTCCGCTCTCAATGTCCCTACTGCTGGGGCACAGGCCTTCCCTATGGATGGAATAGGGAGATTGGGCCATGACCCACCACGCGGGCCCAGTGCGGATTGGTGGATGCTAACGACTGCAGATGCAGCCGGGACCAACGGCTTCACATGCCTTTCAAAGCACTTAGGACAGTATTACAGTAATGTATAATAAGCCTCACTCACTACATATATTATAAATTTGAAAGTCTGTATGTTTGACTAAACGGATTTGGATGGAATTTTACACACATAGTTGATGACCTGGTATGAGAGATAGGTAACGCATTAGAAATGAAATGAGGAGCACGATGGCGCAAGTGTTTAGCGCTAACGGCTGCGATCGTTGAAATTAAGCAACTTTCGCAGTGGTCGGTCATTGGATGGGTGACCAAAAATTTACTATCTCTAACTCCTCCGTGCTTCGGAAGGCACGTTAAGCCGTTGTTCCCGGCTGCATCTGCAATCGTTAGCACCCGCCAATCCGCATTGGGCCCGCGTGGTGGGTCATGGCCCCATCTTCTTACTCCATCCATAGGGAAAGCCTGTGCCCCAGCAGTGGGGACATAAATAGGCTGATGATGATGATAACGATAGATAATAGTGTCACTCACCAAGGAACATTGTCGGTCATCTCAGTACAAGAGTATCTGTTGTTAACATTAGCTTTAGCATTTGCCTCGGTGTAGACGGTTTGTGGACCAGTCTCTTCTTCTTGAATATCCATTGAGCTGCAATAACAATTCCATAAAGGGAGTTTCTAAGGAAAAATTGGTACCAATAACATACTTGCAGTTAGACGCTTCAAAACTAAAAAATATATCTATGATTGCTATTTTTTCTTTCAAATGTTTAATACTTGTACAGGTATTCATTTAACATTCTGGGTTACCTACAATGCAAAGAGATGGCGCCGCCTGGCAGCCTAAGAAAAGCTAGAGAAAATTCGACACGGCCATCAAGGCCACGATAGCATAATGATCAGTGCATTCACCCGGATAGCGAAGGGTGCAGATTCGAGTCCCGTCTGCTGCCTGGACGGCGCGGCGTAGAATTTTTTCTAGTAAAATTCCCATTACATTTTAACATCTAGCAGTTAAATACTTAAAAATAAAGCTGATGGTTATCTTAATGATCATAAAGCACGGACATAGCAAACCTACATTGCGCATGGTAACGGGTGCTATCACTGGACATGCACATTTTAACAGACATCTTTCAACTTAGGTGTCACGGACAGCCCCCTATGCAGAGGATGCATGGAGGCAGAAGAAACAGCTACTCACGTTCTGCTGGAATGCAACGGAGTGGCCGAATACCGGGCGAAATACCTCGGCTCACCGGGAAACCTTCAAGAGGCAGTCACCAATGTGAAGGCCCTGGGGGCATTCCTGGGGGAGCTGGGCTGGCTGGAGTGATTCCGGCCATACACCCTCCTCACGCAAAACAGGCGCCATAAGGACGTCGAGTTGCGGAAACGCCCGTAGCAACAAGAAGAAGAAGAAGGGGCCACGTGGCCAGCAACTTCTGCCTGCTGTGTTATCATTATTATCAATGGGAAGAGTGATGTTAAAACTATTTAAGAGATGCTTAAATCAACTTACCACTGTGCTTCTTGAGGTTGTTCAGTGAAAACATGACTAGGAAAGTCAGTGTTTGCACTAGTTACAATTGCCTGTGCGCTGACAAAGAAAAACAAACCGTTATTATTATCATAAATAAGTATCACGGTCATAGATTTCAATAATCCCAGCCTTATGAAGTTTGTTTACCACTTCTGAATCAGTAAGAAAGAGATTAATTTAAAAAGAAATGTGTTGGAAAATAAAGAGTTATTATCTTAACCTTTGATTATATACACTGCATGGAAGAGGCACAAAAAATATTGACTACATATAGTAGATATGCTCGTCACTACACACCCACACATTGACAGTTTAAGTACAATCCGACATCATAGTCATGCACACATTGCGTATAAATTGAGAGAATAATTTGGACTGTTTAATCTGGGTGTTTATATAATCAAAGGTCTTATCTTATTTGTTTCTTAGGTTTTCACGCACATCACTCATTAAATAAAACTAGTTTTTATGGGTTAATGCACAAAACTTTATTTATTTATTGACGTTTCGTAGCCTTTACAGGCTTCGTCGTCAGAATAAAACTTTTATTTAATTTGTCGAGCTACCTTCGAAAGACTTTTATTGAGCGTTTCGTTATTTCATTGTTCGATTTTTAAGTTTTATTGTCTATGTATGAATTTATTATTTAATTTACTTAATAAAGTATTTAATTTAAAATTACTTTTTGTAATTTTGAGTTTATTTATTTGACCCTAACTACCGTAAACTCTTATCTTAACCTACCCAGTTTCCTCAATGGATTGAGTTGTGCAGGCACCCTTCAGGCTGTCCTGCATAACAGGAAACTCATATCCAATTTGAGAGTTTCCTAGTACCTGCATATTTGTTGAGCTGAAACAAGTAGATTCATAGAAGATTCCATTCAAATAAAATATGTAACTAAATTCACAGTTTGCAGTTCAAAATTAATATGAAAATTCACCATTAGGAGTTGATGCTACACCAAAAAACGAGGTCTGAGTTCCCGCTCCCGTCGACAATGGTTGTGTCACTTATTCAATTACCAGACCATTATGAACCCTGTCAAGCACAGAACAAGACAGGGAGGCATTCTAGGCAACAGAGAACTACGAATGTATTTTGTTTTTTTTTATGTTAAAAGGGTAGCAAACAAGCATATAGGCCGCATGATGGTAAGCCACTTATAGGCGCTTGCTCTATCAGAAATTTTACTTGCGCTGTTGCCTACCCTGACCCAATCCCCTATTATCGGATTACCGGGAGTGAAGGATTAGACGGGGTCCGGATTACCGCGGGTCTACTGTATTTTATTTTATTATTTAGGTATCAACACTTACCTTGGAATGCTTTGAGTCAATCCTTCCTCTTTGACCGGCTCCAATGGTTTGTTGATGTGTGTGAACACTGAGAAACTATTTTGCTCAATTGCATATTGCTCTTGCGTCCCGACATCTACGAAAATCGGGGCAGTTTCAGTTCCTTCAGCCATTTTTGCTGAATTTAATCTCCTATATGGTTGATCAGTTGTTCCAACTTTCTGTGAGCAAAAAACAAACATTTAATGCAAGTAAACCATATCTGCAGGGAGACAGAATTATACATTAGTTTAACTCCTCAAGGCAAGCACTTTTATTGTCACTTTTTAATATTCGTAATATAATATTTTAATATAGAGAAAGATGTTTCGTTAAACGAAACCCCAGAATAGAACAAAATATAAAGATAATTATTCCACAACATAATATAGTAAGTAAACGTACTTAAGTATTGGAGTATTCCACCTTTGTTAAATAATGCATTTCTCATCCAAATTATCACAGAAAGAAAACAAACAATAAATAATAAAACACTGCCAAACCGCTGGCGAGCGTCATTAGATTAGATTTCTTCAGTGATGGCTCCCTCAGGATTTGGCCAATATCTGGTGTTTGTGTCCAAAATTTCTTGTCTATGTTTGTTCGGTGAGGGATTGTTTATTGTCTAAAACTCTGCTTATGGTGTGGAAGGGCTTTGTGCAAGTACAAGGACCTAGGATTTGGGAAAAGAATAGGGAAAAACAGAAAGGAAAGGTTAAGGTATAATATGTTGAGCTGCCTGAAACAATAAGTAATAAAGCTGAGATATGAGTACCAGTGAAACTATATCTACAATTTAATATTGTTAGAATCAATATACATACACAGAATATTCACAAAATCTGAATAAACTAAAGATAATATAGTTGAAAAATCTGTAGGAAGATGGACATGTGACGGAAGCAATGAATAGAGGGAATGGCTATTTTTGGAGCAATTAAAAAAGATATGATCTGGGGTACCCTCATCGATACCACACTCGCACAAGGAACTGTCCCTCACCCTAATCTTGGCCAGGAAAACGGGAGTACATACGTGACCAAGTCTTAGTCTGCATAATGTGGAAACAACACTTTTTTTGGCATTTCGCATTTTGGTAAACCATGGAGAATGAGGGATATCTGGCTGAATATTCGCATAGAACTTGCCTTTTGATTTACTTGATTCCTTCCAAAATTTTGACCACTCTGTAAGCAACTGCTTTTTAGCTAAAGAAGCTAGGTCATTAGGGTAAGTGCCACAGTGATTGAGAGATCCGCTAAGTGTAGCTTGTTTGGCAAAGGAATCAACAGTCTCATTTCCCACTATACCAGTATGCCCAGGGATCCATGCCAAAATAATTTGTAAACCTTGCTGATGACATTCAAATAAAATAGTTTTAATGGTCAGTATAAATTGAAATTTTGATTTAGAGCTGAACTGATTACTCATTATGGCTTGGAGACAACTTTTAGAGTCTGAAAAAATTATTACTTTATTAAGACTATGGGATTGAATAAATTTGAGGGCTTCTAAAATAGCGATAGCTTCACCAGTGAACACCGAAGAATATTGAGAACATTTGAAGTCAAGAATGATATTATATTTTGGAACCCACACTGCTGACCCGACGTGACTATCATCTGTTAGTTTTGAAGCATCCGTATAAATAGTAAGCCAATCAGGCCACTGAGACCCAAGTCTGCAATTCAAGATGTTTTGTGCTGCTGGAGAATTTTTGCCAATATCTATGTCCAAGATTATGTTAGGCTTATAAATTAAAGCTTGATATGGGGTTTCAAATAAAGGATTGAGCCTACATTGATAGACAGGGGATGGTAGTTGTAATAACTTTCTAAAACTAATTAACAGACATGGGAGATTTTTGTGGGACCAGTAGCTACTTGAAGGAATCAGTTGGTTTAACTGATGAAGTTTAGGAATTAGTGGATGAGATGAGCGTTCGAAAATTTTAAATATAAATTTGTCTGACATATACTGTCGCCGAAATTCTAAAGGAGGCTCGACGCATTCTACCTGCATTGCATTAATTGGAGATGACTTCATGGCACCTAAAATGATACGTAGACACTTAGATTGAATTTTGTCGAACAATTTTAGAGCTATTTTGCTACAGGGTTCGAGTAAGAAAGATCCATAATCCAAGAGGCTGCGGACAAGTGCATTATACATCATTTTTTGTGTACTTGGGTGGGCTCCCCACCATACACCCGAGAGTGCTCTAATTATATTTAAATTCCGTTCACATTTTTTAACAATGTAGTTAATATGGGGGACCCCAGTTAATCTACAGTCTAATACCATACCCAGAAATTTTACCTTGTCATGATTCGGGAACACCTGTCCCTCACAGGAGATATTAATATGAGGGATAGACCGAGCTCTAGAGAAAACCACAACACTGCTCTTAGGGATGGATAGTGATAAGCCATGGTCGGATAGCCAGTTATTCAGGTAGTAAATAGCTGAATTCAGTCGACTAGAGGCATCCAATATATTATCGACATCTATGTATAGGGCAAGGTCATCTGCATATTGTAGTACATTACAAAAGGAGGTCACCGTAAGGTCTAAGTCATGGGTGTAGATGCTATAGAGCAAGGGGCTAAGAACTGAGCCCTGTGGGAGACCTTTCCAAATCTTTCTGGGTGGGAGGTTTAAATTTTGAAAACTAACAGAGACTGAACGATCATTAAGAGTATTACAGATAAAATTAACAAACTTCTCAGGTATGTTCAGCTTAAGCATCTTCTGCCTAAGCACTGGGAGAAGGACGTTATCGTAGGCAGATGCAATATCAAGGAATACACCCACCACTGACCTTCGTTTAGACAAAGCAACACGGATATCTGTCACAAAGGAACCCAGACTATCCATGGTGCTCAGCCCTTTCCGAAAGCCGAACTGGGTTTCTGATAATTTATTATTGTTTTCCAAAAACCATTCCAGACGATTTTTAATGAGGCGCTCTACAACTTTAAACAAAGTATTAGAAACTGCTATGGGTCGGTAGCTGGATGGATCATTACTTTGTTTGCCACTTTTAAGAATAGGGATGATAATTTGAGTCTTCCATTCCTCAGGGGGGGTGCCAGATTCAAATATTGCATTAACCATTTTTAAAAAGTGAAGTTTTGTCTCATTGCCGCTCTTAGTAATGAATGAGTAAGGTATTCCGTCAGCTCCAGGGGCGGAATCTTCAAGGCCTGAAAGGGCCAAGGAGATCTCCTCCCAGGAGAATGGAGCTTCCAATGGGTTAGATGAAAAAGAAGGAGAGCCAGGAAGAGTCCTAACCTCCTCCAAGGTAGGCGCAGAAAGGGGGGCAATTTTACGGCTAAAGGGTACAAGCCATGCATCAGGGTCAGAAGAAGAAAAATTTTCATAGGTATCAGAGTATGATCCACGAAATTTTCTAATATTTTTCCAAATAAGAGAAGGCGATGATCTCGGGGACAAAGAAGTACAAAATTTAGTCCATCCCTCCTTTTTCTTAAGCCTCAGCAGAGATACAGTCTCTGCTGCAACTTTTTTGTAGTGGAGATAATTTTCCACAGTCATAGCAGATGAATAAGCCTTCTCAGCTATCTTCCGATTTTTTATTGCAGCAGTGCAGTCTTTATCCCACCAAGGCGGAGAGCTGATATTCTTACAAGTTGGCGATTTCCTGATTGGGATACACTCATCAGCCACTGAGAGCATAGTATTCTTGAAAAGTGAATAGTGGTTGTCATTATTATCTGGAGCCTGAAGGGATGGGAGGAGTTTCATTTTGTCATCTAACCTGCTACTATACTTATTCCAGTCTGCTCGGGCCAAAATATGTTTTTGCCTGGGAGTGATATGGGGGGCTTCTTTACTTGGTGCAGGCAAGAAAACTAAAATGGGGTAGTGATCACTCCCATATGTGTTTGTAAGAATTTGCCAGTTGAGATTAGAAGCTAAGCTAGCCGAGCAAATAGATAGGTCAACTGCACTCTTTGGGTTCTGATTTGGAGCAACACGACGTGTTGGAGAGCCGTCATTTAAAATGCAGAGATTTAGGTCATCTAGTAAATCTAAGAATGTGGAAGAGAGGGAATCAGAAATGTGACAACCCCAAACTTCATTATGTATATTAAAGTCTCCCAGAATGATATATGGTTTCTCAATTGATTTGATAATAGAAAACACTTGTAGTAATATAGATAAATCAGGATTAGGGATATAAATGGATATAAAAGATATGTTCATTGCTCGAATTGCAATTATATTAAACTTTTCAGTATTATGAGAGGATAGATCAATAGGATGGAAAGAATAATTTCTTAATACAAATAAAGCAGAGCCACCTTTGCCATCATTTCTATCATCCCGGAGACATGCATAGCCCGGGATCCAGAATCTGGTTCCCGGCCTAAGCCAGGTCTCCTGAATGGCAAGAATAACTGGCTTATGATAGTTAATAATATAAATTATATCAGATTTTTTATATTTAATACTCCTGCAGTTCCATTGGAGTATTGGAGTGAATTTTATTACCTAAAAAGGAAAGCTCAGTCAGTTTTTGCTTGAGGTTGTTCGGTAATTCAATATCTTCAAATCGTTTAATAAAGTTAATAAGTGTAGAAAGCTGAAGAAATAACATTTCAATTAAATTGTCATTCGGTTCAGTAACTAAAGAGGTATTAGTAAGGGCACAACCATTTGGCTGTGTCGAGGTTGGAGTATGGGTGAGTGAATTCTGTGTTTGCCTGTCATAGCCATGACTAGAGGCTGGAGAAGGGGAATGACGGGGTACTGAAATAGTCTTTTTATATGAATATGCTATGGGAACAGTTGGTAACCTAGGGACAGAGCTGCTTAGGTGGATTTGAGAATTTGAAGGTAAACGACTTGAGTCAGCATATGACTTTCTAACAGGGGCAAATCTTGCTGAGGCTTCCATATAGGAAACATTCTCCTGGGACATAACCAACTTAATAGACCTTTGTCTAGCATGTTCAGGACAAGAGGAATGAGTAGCTAAATGGTTCCCTAAGCATAGTATGCACTTGGGGGGAGCCTGACTTAAGCAGGATTCACCCTCATGCATTTCTCCACATACGAAGCAGCGGGGTTTGGAACGGCACAGAGACTTTATATGTCCGAATCTACAGCAATTATTACACTGGATTACCGGTAGCCTGTAAATTTCCACCGGTAATGAAGTGTAATAGCAATACACATGATCTGGCAACTTTTTGCCAATAAAAGTAACAACCACAGTCTGAGTAGGGATCCAGGTGGGAGCAGAGTTTGCAACAGTTACCTTTCGGTTTAATCTCCTCGCTCTAAAAACTTTCCCATGGCCATCAGGAACTCGTACATTTTGAACTAGTTCTTCCATAGACCACTCTACTGGAACATTCCTGATAATGCCCATTCTAGAAACATTAAAAGATGGGATGGACGCTAGGTAATTATTGTTAAGCAAAGCAGGATGGTCTATAAAAGAATTAGCATCCGATGCAGATTTAAATTGTACTGAGATGCGGTTTCTACCAACTTTTTTAACTCCATCTGCAACTACATTTTTTATGTTGTGTGTAAAAAGAAATTTACCAAAATGCATTGGGCGGAGGACAGTGCCTTGTGATGGTTCAGACTCTTTTTTAGATATATGTACAATAAAAGGTCCAATGTCATCAACATTATATTGAATTTTGTTTTCCGCATACTCTGGCAATATAAATGTTGTTTGAACAGACGCCGTAATTTGAGCCGAGGATGTTTTTTTTGCTGGTATATTATGGTTTGTGCTAGAAATGCTTTGCGATCGTTTTCTATTGATTGATGATGAATTATCATGACTTTGAATAGAAGGAAAGATATCTTGGGATTGCAAAGGAGGGTCAGCGTCCATATTTGGCGCCAATTATAATTATGTAAAAAATATATATATTACTTACCAAATACCGAAATAAATATGTTATTACATACACACACAAATAAATAAATACAAAAATACAAAAAGTAGCTCAACACAGAACGAAAAACTAAATTAATCTAAATTGAACAAATTTGCACTTGTATCACGCACTCAACCTAAAAGCAGAGAGAGGCGAGCGTCATCTTTGTTTACTTTTTGTTTGTTTCTTAATAAATCCCATGGAAAACAAAGCAAAGGATACTATGCCATCGAGGCATCGATGTATGGTGATGGCATAGGTGGGCGAACCCCTCCAGCAAAGTACGTGGCCACACTTACGACATGCGTTATATAAAACTAGTTCAAAACCATAAAAATGGAAAATTACGTTGTTTTCTCACGCAAAAACCTATCTGCCACTTCAATCCTGCTGAAGCATGGTGTTTCCTATCAAATACAAATATTTTTAATTTCACAGACCAATAAGAGAACAAGTTCTTAATTTCTAATAAAAAAAACTAGTATAAAATTCAATATAAAGAAAAGGCGCGGAACGACGAATGAATTACAAAAATAATAGGTAGAAATTCACAGTGATGTGACTCAAAATGAGTGAAATGAATGAATGGTATTTTATTCTTGGAAAACCTTCTCCAAATTTAATTAAGTGATAGCAAGCAAGTTGATAAAACAACTAAAACATCAATAGAATGATAAAAAAACAAACATTCAATAATTTACGATCTATAACTTAACCAAACAAAGGTGTCGATTTTGGAATGATTCTCTAAACTTAAAAGTCAAGTGTCCTCCTTTCGTTCTGTATCGAGAATGACAAGAATACACTGTTGTCAAAATAAATTGAGGTTTAGAGAACCCTGCCATAATCGACAACAAAGTATTTCTTTCGACGTTAAAATATGATTATGTTTATAAAACCAGCCAAGTGCGTGTCGTGCCATGCGCAGTGTAGGGTACTGTAGTTGCTTGTAGTTACCACAATATATTTGAGCAGGAGTCTTTATTTTTTATACCGGAAATTAGAAAAACCAATTAATATCAATCTATGTATCTCAACTAAAACACCTAAATCAAAGTCAAACTGCGTCTCAAACTCATAATCTATTCGATTTTTTTAAGCTATTACATAGCTTTTATCACGGGCTTGGAGCGCGGCGACTGAATCAAGAAATTCCGTAACGAAACTTAACCTAACACCCCCCACTCCGAACGACACAGCGGTGCGGCTGCGTGTAGACTAGCTAACTGCTCATAACTGATTCTACCTCTTTTAGCAAATACTATAGAAACTTTCTATAGCATTTGCTTTAAGACACAATGCTAGGTGAGACAGCGTGCTTTTTGGCCGCGTCTACGAGTGAGTTCGATTGCTGCAAAATAAGTTCATTTACATATACGAGGACAACAAAAGTTTCAATAATAAAAAATCCTCCACAACTTACATGTATTGTAAGATAATAAAAATATTTTGAACAGTATTAACTTCTCATTTATTCAATAAAAGAAAAAAAATAATTTCTTATCGGTTCGGTTTATTTATTCACCACGCTCAAAAAGTGTTACTTGAATAAATATCAAAGAAAAAAAAACGCCACACGGATTTTTTAAATACGAATGATAACCGTGCTGCTATACGTGAGTACCTCGTGCGGCAAAAATGCCGGCAAATTTTGTTCGGCGAGTGAATGGTATGGCATCTCAATTGGTATATGCTCTAAGTAAAAAGGAGAGACTGATGTTAAATTAAGTTAAGAGAATCATGCCAGAATTGACACTAGTTTCTTTTTTTTGGTAATACCTTCGCAACTAAGTTCTTCTTGGCCTTTACAGTCACTTTTTTCAATATGAAAGACACAAACCAATAATTAAAAACAATTAAAAATAGATTTTTATTGGTTTCCACTTCTTTTTAAAACCTTCGCTAACTCTTGGTGATATTCGTCATAATCAGGTGATTTCTCATATGTATATATTTTATTCCCTTCTTTTCTAATAACTATTGGAGTTTTCTTAGTATTCGTATTTTGTTCTTGACTTTTGGTAACCTCTTTCGAATCATTTATTATCTCCTCTGTACTTTGATTATGATAAACAGATTCAGTTACTTCCTCTTCCAAGCTTGGCGAGTCTTGTGTAGCGTCAGGCTTATTATTTTTAGATTTGTTATGTTTTTGTTGATTTTTGTACTCAACATAAGCATTGTAATTTCGTTCAAAATCTAGATTATCTGGATCTAGTTCTGCACTGTCTGTTCCTATTTCAGGACCATCCGCCTGATCTTCATTGCTGTTATAATTCCTCTTTTGTCCATTAGCTTCATCTTCTGGTTGTTTCTCTTCTGTTCCATTATCAAGATTTTCATTTGATGGTACTAATGCAAACTCGGTGTTCATTTCTTTATTTGTCGTAGTTGAAATGTCCTCTTCTATTTGATTAGAATCGGTTTCAACTTTTTTATTTGTATGTTGTAGTTGCTCATTTGAAATAGTGGTTGGAATATTTAATTCTTCTTGTTTTGTTGTTTCTTCAGACCCATCAAATACAGAAACACCTTTTTGTATTTGTTTTGACATAGTATTAGCTATACCATGGTAACTTTTAATAAAATGTTTAAATTTTAGACTTAAATCATTTGCTGCGTGCACTTGTTGCTTTACATTAGAAGTATTTTTTATTGTCGTACTCTGAGTTTTGTCATGAACTCTTTTAAGCGCAGCTTCTATCGTTATATTTTTATTTTCAGATACTCTATAGTTTAACTCATTTTTATTTGGATTGGTTTCGTTTTGCGTTCCTTCAAAAGCTTTAATCTCTGTTATCCTTTTTGCAGCTTTATCGGCAATTTTATCAGCTATTTCATCAAACCTTTGAGATAGCATTACTGTTTTCAAAAACTTATCCACATCAATGCCTGATACTTTTTTAGCAGGCGAATAGTGTGACAAAATTCCAAGTATAATTATAGCGCAATCTGAAAAAAATCTTCTTTTACAAATCAAAAGGGTAAATATTACAGTACCAACTACCTACTCGATATAATATCGCTTACATAGTAATTCTCTAAAATCACTCATTTTTATTTAAGTGCCTAATTATGTTTATTTCAATTATTTACATTGAGTGGAAAATAAATCGCAACAAAAACATATTTTTCTTGTAGATTTGTAAATAATAAAAATATATTCGTACCAACTTGTTATAAAACTAACATTATCAGAAATTGCTTTTGAAAAGATAATAAAATTTTAGTCCTGTTTCATGCGATAACTCTTTCAAATAAGTGAAACTTTACTTATTTTATATATCGAGTAGGTATGCAATTGTTTATAAATAAAGACAAACCTTAAGAAAATTATGCGTCAGATGCAAGCTTTCCTTTCAATTATTTAGTTTCGATAGGTGAGGCAAGAAGCTCGATGGTGCAACTTTCACAGTGGCCAGACTTTGAGTGACCAAAAATTTACTATCTTGAACTCCTGGGCATAGATTATCTAACGATTACTGATGCAGCCTTCCGAAGCACAGAGAATTTCAACATAACTTTATCTTTTATCTACATAATTAATTAAGTAAATATGTAAATTAATAATGGGGAAGAAGAAGAAACCGAAATTAGACGGGAATCCGGTTCCTTCGGAGTCGGACTCAGACGAAAATGAAACCGATAAGTATAAGCCCTATAAAATTGAAAATTATTGCAGGCAATATCCTGAGGACGGGGGCAACTTCGAATACCTTGTAATTTACGAAAGTACTACAGAATCTAAGCCCATTGGTGATAGGGATCTCATGTCCCTGGGTACTGTCCTTAAACGACACAATAAGGGGATCAAACGATTGAAACGAATTAATGGATACAAAGTTGCTGCCATTATTGAGCGACCGGGCTTAGCCAACATGGCTTTAAACAATACCAAATCCCTTTCAGAGCTCCAAATCAAGTGCAATATACCGGCCACTCTGACAGACAGACCCCTCTTTCCCCCGCGATTCACAGGGACCCCCCTCAGATCAATTACAAAGTCCATAGTTCCTGTCAGATCACCAAACGATAACCAATTAAATTATTACCAAAAAACTTATATACTAAATTCGAATAAATTTAGTTACTATACGAAATTTATTACTGACTACAATCCTAACATGCGCGAAGCTATTCTACTCTCGCCCAAAAATTTGGCTTTCAGACTTCAACATGCTTAAATAAATTGAAATACATATACGGACTTAACCTCGTCTAATCGTGAGTGAAGCATACCAATGGCCACCCGCTTACCGCGTGTGCGTGATTTGAGGGTTGTCGGGTAAATTATCAATTTCCCTACTTTTTAAATCTCGCAAACCAAAACTTTGTTAACATTGGTGTCGATTCTGACATGATTCTCTAAACCTAAACTTAAATTTGACAACAGTCTATCCTTGTCGTTCTTTATACAGAATGAAAAGGAGAACCCGATGTTAAATTTAGTTTTAAGTTTAGAGAATCACGCCAGAATCGACATCATTATGTAATTAAATATATATTATAAAAACGGGATATTTACCACGTGTTTTACTCTTTGTGAACTTCCGATATTTCAGCAATTTAAACGGTTGCACTTCAGAAACATGATGTTGGCCTATAATAGCATAGAAAAGGAAACACTTGCTACTTATAAAGAAATTTATTGTTATAATTTTTATTATTTTTAAAGCATGTAACTGCTTGATGTTTAAATCTAAAGAAAATATAACTAGAAAAAATTCCACGCGGACCAGGCAGCAGGCGGGACTCGAACCCGCACCCTTCGCAATCCGGGCGAATGCACTGACCAATTATGCTACCGCGGCCCTCACGGACCGCGTCGAAATTCTTTCTAGCTATTCTTAAGCTGCAAGGCAGCGCCATCTCTTCGCATTATAGGTAAACCCACAATGTCAAATTAATACTTTTACAAGTATTAAACATTTGAAAGAAGAAATAGCAATTATAGTTATAATTTTTATTATTTTTAAAGCATGTAACTGCTTGATGTTTAAATCTAAAGAAAATATAACTAGAAAAAATTCCACGCGGACCAGGCAGCAGGCGGGACTCGAACCCGCACCCTTCGCAATCCGGGCGAATGCACTGACCAATTATGCTACCGCGGCCCTCACGGACCGCGTCGAAATTTTTTTTTCTAGTTATATTTTCTTTAGAAGAAATTTATTGTTTACATATTATATGTAAATAAATGTCTTCATATTAAGTTTGAGGTTAATAATATACATTATTAATAAATAAATAATCAGTGCAATCAGGGCTAATTGGGAACTTGATAGTAACAAAATGCTAGGGGTTAGTGCATTCGCCCGGTCAGCGGAACACGCAGATTTGAGTCCTGCCTACAACCTTGACAGATTTGGTTTGTTTTCGAGAAAAAATCTTAATATATATAAATTACGCGTCACGTTGTGTGTCCGGGATGAATTCCTAAACTACTTAACCGATTTTAATCAAATTTGCACATCGTGTGCAATTTGAAAGATATAGCTTCTATCTCAATTTATAGTCGCAATATTATTTTATTGCGAATTATTACTTTTGGGTGGTACGAAGTTCGCCGAGTCAGCTAATATTCTATAGATTAACTAGCTGACCCAGCGAACTTCATACCGCCATAAAAATAGGGGTAGGTGTTAGAAGAGAAAATTTAGGGTTGTATGTATTTTTTAATACCACATTATAAAAGTCACAAATGCATGAAATACAAAACTTAGAATTTTTATCACATTAAATAAAATATAATTTTGAAATAATTATCACGATTTGTCATTACTTACGCATGGTAGGTGATTCCAGTTCGCATTGCAGATTTTACATGATATCATCACACAAAAAGGCATATTTTTTAATTTTTGTAGGAGCATTAGAACGTGATACTGCCGCTGGCACGCGGAGTCAATTGGCAGCGGTTTGTCCGACCTGGGTGCATTTGTGTGAGTGTAAATAGTGTACAACAAATTGTAGGACCTTGCATGCTTCACATCGTTTTTGTTTGATGTTACGCCCGTCTTTTTTTCATGTCCGTGCTAAGCACATACCCATTTTAAAGAAAAATCATCAGTAGTACACTTATCGGTGTGACTCGCTCCATTTCCAGTTATAATCCACATCAAAGTCATAGGGGCCCCATTATCCTAATATGCCCAGGGCCTCCAATAGGTTAAAGATGGCCCTGCTGACAGGGATCACTGGAGTCATTCGTGGAGTTCCTACGTATATGTCCAATTTTAATATTTAAACCGGCATTTCCTGCTCCAGCTTCCAGTTAATCGCTGTATAATCCATGTCTTATCTTTGCAGTTGCACTGTATTTGTTGAGTTGTCTATAACCGTGCTGTGACGCGCTTTACCTGTGTGTGTTATCGCACTGCAATTTGTTCGTTTGTTATCTGTTATTCATATTAAGTAGTTGAATAGTGTTTGAAGGTTTGTTTAAAGCCAGTTCCCAAACAATGTAATTTAATGTGAATGTCCGAACAACGCATTCCTAGTTTAAACCCTATGTGGTTTTTTGTGAATGTTGTAATTAATGTTTGTGTTATATATTTAAATGGTAAATAAATAAATAAATAAAAAAAAAAGTTATGGGCGGGCGCATAGGCAAATACTGTAAGAACGCGCAGAAATGCTCAATTTGTTTGACAATCACCACTATAAAGAATGTACAAAAACAGCAAAAGAAGCCATCTGCATTTATTGTAAAGGCAACCACATATCGATGTCATCTGAATGCCCTAAGAGGAAGGAAGAAATAAAAAAAAATGATAATATTTTAAAAACTTATGCTCATGGTTTAATCACACACTGAATTACCTAATAACAAGCAAGAAAAACAAATTCGAATCTTTGTTACAGTCAGACACTGATGTCGATTCTGGCATGATTCTCTAAAGCTAAACTTAAATTTGACAACAGTGCATCTCTGTCATTCTCTATCAAAATGAAAAGGAGAGACTGATGTTAAATTTAGTTTTAAGTTTAGAGAATAACGCCAGAATCGATACCAGTATTTTACAAACAATAATATCACCTATTCATAAACTTTACACTCAAAAAACTTCAGATAACTCACTTCATTAACTTCGGAGACCAATAAACAGTCAAAATTAAAAAATACTTACTTCGACACAAGTGATCCTGAGGGATGTTAAGATTTATTATCAAAAATTTTGCTGGACTGTGCAAACGAAGCAAATCTCTCCAAAAACCCACCTGTAGGAAACAATCATTTGACAAAAAAAAGAAAAGGTTAAAACTCCCTTGGTGGAATAATGTCTGTGCTCAAGCAGTAATTAATTGTAAAATATCTTACTTAGAATTTAAACATAATCCAACTGAGCAAAATTACATTTTAATTAAACATAAACAAGCACAACAAAAATTCTATCAACACGGAAAGGCTGAAGGCATGGTCAGAGTTATGCAAGTCTTTCAATCGTCAGACCCTATGTCTATGATTTGGGCTAACATTAGAAAGTCTTCTCTCAAGCGGCAAGGAGCCGAAAGTCAGCACCTTTCAATACCCGGAAATGCGGCAAGGGACCGAAAGTTGGCAACGCGCCAATCCACATAGTTAATCCGTGGAAAATGTTACATTCATTGTTTTTGCTATCACCTCCATTCTTATACCAATGTGTAGGGAAAAGAACAGGCTAGCTATATAGCGCTTGATTACGTCAACTGTCATACGAAATATTTGTTGTCTGCGCCACTGTTCCCAACTTAGGGGTTTTGCCCCCAGATTTAGGGTCTAGAAGGGTTAAAACGGACTTTTTTTATGGGCTGGAATTATTTGGGGGGTTTTTTAGGGTCTTTTAACAAAACTTGCAATTAAATCGAAAAATAAAGCGTGTGTTTTCTTTCAGTTTTGTGCTTAGAATGGTTGTTGGACTAAAGTTAAAAAAACAGCTAAATAATATTTCACAGTTACGGACACGATATCGAATAGAAAGTATCGATACTGTACTCATGAGTAGTATCGGTAAAAAAGTATCGTACTCGTAAAAGTATCGATACTTCAAAGTATCGAGTACATTTCATAGGGTCTTATCGGATCCTCTGTGGCCTGATGAGCAAACCCCCCCCCCCCGCGTTTAAAATTGAAAGAAAAACAATCGAATTTTATTATAGTTCGTATAATCAAAAACAGAAAAAGGACATGTAAATTCACAAATTGCTATATTATATAATGAAAAGAAAATAGCTGTGATTTCTGACACTTAAGAAGTGTTCATTAATATTACATTAATAATTAAAATATTAACTTGAATCTGACACGCAGTTAACGGCGGCCATTGGCATGCTTCACTCAATATTATAATAGGCTAGTTGACCCTTTTTGGAAAAAGGTTTTAAATGGTTAATAAATGTTCTATTAGACCGAAAAAAAATGTATTGTATTTTTTTTAAACCTAGAAAGCTACAAATCTTTAATTTTAAAATAGACTTTTCATGGACATACAAAAACGCTATCGGCCATTTTAGTCTATACATTGTCTATGCTATGACGTGAACTGTGGTAAACAAAAACTCGTAAACACGTAGAAAATTACTTTTAACTGAGTTTATAATAAAAAAAAACATGATTTCTAATAAATACCACGAAAAATAAAGTATTGTACGAGAATATAAAAACACATCCTTGAAGACTCCAGGAAAGTTGTGGATTAAAGTGCCGAAAGAAATTAACCTACGCAACTTTATTACACTTATTCATATGTTGTATCAGTTTTATGTTTATTACTACATTGTAATACTAAATGCACTGTACTTACATAGATGCCTTGTCGTTTCTCTGCTCCGCAGAGCAGAAATCGGGGTTTAGTGCAACAAATTCACCAACCATCAATGCGTCAATTCTTGGCATATTTGTGCTTTCTGCTTTCACAAAGCCGGCATCCATAATTTGTTTAGTCAAAAAAAACTAAGTTTACTGTTTTTTTCTTTCCTAAAGTTAAAAGTGTTTTAAGATAAATTTAGTGAGACGAAAGAATCCACTTAAAGTAACACGCGAATGACATTTAGTTGTTTACCACAAGAGACGTCAAAATCATGGCGAATGAGGCGAACAGCGTTTTTAGTGTTTAAAAAATATAGACTAAAAAATATTTTTTAAAATTAAATTTCTACAGCAATCTTCTGCTTTTATGAAGTGAAATCGATATATTAGGGTTCCTTAGCCTAAACACTTTAAGAAATAAACATTT